TTTCCTGACCACAGAATTGTATAAGCCATAAAAACGGAAGGAAAAATCAGATTCTGAAAACCTTCTAGTTCAAGAAGCCATTATTCCACAAATAATTTTTTCCAACCAAATGGCACAAGCCAAAAATCTACTTTCAAATGCATTCCAATGCATCTTACACATATAAATTACTTACTTTCCTATTGAAGAAGAATAAAAGAGAGCCTCTTCCTTACAGAACTGGGCCCTATTTTACAGAGGTTTTTAAACAAAAAATTCACAAAATGTATTTTCTTAAAAACATTTAAGATGATTCAAGATCATTTTAACTACCAAAAATAGATGTTTTAAAGATTTTTTTTTTTACTAATGCAAATCCACACAGCTTTTAGAACTGTAAAATCAGAGGGAATGGGAAATTCAGGGGAAAAAAAAGTTTGAAAAGATCAATAATAAAGCATTTCTATTCTTTGCCATGAGTACTTTGGGGACACAAGGGATAATGCCATGTCTTTCAACTTGATATCTTCACAGGCGACACATCCAGCTCCTAAAATGTTATCTTTCATTTATAACTAGTCTCTGTTTCTGTGACAACAGACCTTAGGAACAGTGAATCAGATATTCAGTAAGGTACCTTCATACAGTTTACATTGGAGTGACTTGAAATATGCCAATTTAAGCTTGCTGAGGATATCGCACAGCAGCTGACTGAATTTCAGTCAGCTTAAAGCATAGAACAGCTGCATCCCAAAGATTTACCAAATCTGTATCAAAGTTTTTAAGGAAGACATCTCATGAATAGCAACCACACATGGAGACAGTGCTATTCACACAGTATACTACAATACAAAATACTACAAATTAGCAATAACGTAGTGAGATGGGGATGTCAAAGTTTCTCTTTCAGTGTTTGCTTATTTAATCACTAATTCATTTAATGAAAAAAAAGTACAGATGTATGTTGTTATTTCAAGTTTTAAAACTATGGAAAGAAAGCTCTCCCATAATGCATCTCACAGAACTATCTACATAATTTTGTTGATTGAAAGATTTAATACGTGAAATAAAGAAGATTGTTCTGCAAGTCAAAAAGATTTTCTTTTGCAATCCATGCAAATGCAGTCCTACTTACGAATTGCAGCTATTAATAGGCATGGCATTTTTCAGCTGAGATTTAAATTGAGGCAAAAGTAAGGTTCAAGTAGAAATCAATTAGTTGCTCATGACTTCTTACATTTCATGTCTGAATCAGACTGTGCTCAGACTAAGTCACGCTCATGTCTTCTTCCAACCCTTCCAGTTTTATCAATGTCTGTCTCTTGTATTTCCTTACTTGCCCTTGGCTCTCCTGGACTGCAAATCACAGAATCACTAAGGTTGGAAAGGACCTTCAAGATCATCAAGGCCAACCATTAACCCAACATCTCCATGTTCCCTAAACCATGTCCTGAAGCACCACATCCACACGTTTTTTGAACACTTCCAGACATGGTGACTCCACCATCTCCCTGGGCAGCCTGTTCCAATGCTTGACCCCCCTCTCGGTGAAGAAATTTTTCCTAATATACAATCTAAACCTCCCCTGGCGCAACTTGAGGCCATTTCCTCTCGTCCTATCACTAGTTACTTGGGAGAAGAGACTAACACCCTCGTCGCCACAACCCCCTTTCAGGTAGTTGTAGAGAGCGATAAGGTCTCCCCTCAGCCTCCTCTTCTCCAGGCTGAACAACCCCAGTTCCCTCAGATGCTCCTCATAAGACTTGTGCTCCAGACCCCTCACCAGCTTTGCTGCCCTTCTCTGGACACGCTCCAGCACCTCAACGTCCTTCTTGTAGTGAGGGGCCCAAAACTGAACACAGGATTCAAGCTGTGGCCTCACAAGTGCCGAGTACAGGGGCACGATCACTTCCCTCCTCCTGCTGGCCACACTATTTCTGATACAGGCCAGGACGCTGTTGGCCTTCTTGGCCACCTGGGCACACTGCCGGCTCATGTTCAGCCGGCTGTCAACCAGCACCCCCAGGTCCTTTTCCGCCGGGCTGCTCTCCAGCCACTCCTCCCCAAGCCTGTAGCGTTGCATGGGGTTGTTGTGACTGAAGTGCAGGACCCGGCACTTGGCCTTATTAAAACTCACGCAGCTGACCTCCACCCATTGATCCAGCCTGTCCAGATCCCTCTGCAGAGCCCTCCTACCCTCCAGCAGATCAACACTCCCACCCAGCTTGGTGTCATCTGCAAACTTACTGAGGGAGCACTCGATCCCCTCATCCAGGTCATCAGTAAAGATATTGAACAAGACCAGGCCCAGAGCCAAGCCCTGGGGAACACCACTTGTGACCGGCTGCCAGCTGGATTTATCTCCATTCACCACAACTCTCTGGGCTCGGCCATCCAGCCAGTTCTTTACCCAGCGAAGAGTACACCTGTCTAAGCCACGAGCCGCCAGTTTCTCCAGGAGAATGCTGTGGGAGGCACTGTCAGAGGCTTTACTAAAGTCCAGGTAGACAACTTCCACGGCCTTTCCCTCATCCACTAGGCGGGTCACCTGGTCATAGAAGGAGATCAGGTTGGTCAAGCAGGACCTGCCTTTCATGAACCCATGCTGGCTGGGCCTGATCCCTTGGTTGTCCCGCACATGCCCTGTGAGCGCCCTCAAGACAAACCGCTCCATGATCTTCCTCAGTACAGAGGTCAGGCTGACAGGCCTGTAGTTCCCAGGATCCTCCTTCCAGCCTTTCTTGTAGATGGGAAGTCCTACTGTGACAGACCAGCTTTCTACAATCATATGGTTCTAACACTCTTTGACTAGTGGGGAAAATCAAAGTGATGTTCCAAACTACTTTTATGCTTCCAGAACATAACCGTGTATTAATTTGTAACTAAGTAAATCTATACTTGTACTGCTAGAGAGACTGAAGTCATGCAACCAATAATTATTATATATTTTAAGATGCTACTTAGAGCTCCTTTTTACCCTGCTGCTTCTGTAATGATTTTCATAAGCTGCAATTATTAAAAAGACTTTTAAAGAAGTACTAATAAAATACTAATTAAACTATTGTTTATAAAATGTTTACAAACTATTGTTTATAAAATACAGAACAGTTAAATATATACTCTATTGCAAAGAATTCTCCTTCACTACAGAATTGACCTATTTTAAAATCATAAATACCCAATAACTATATCCACACATGTACATTTTCTATACGCACAATAGGTATAGAACAGTTTAAAACAAATGAGTTTCAGATCTGAAATGTAAAAATGGTGTAACAGTATACTCTGAACAGGAAACATATAAATAGGCACTCCAAAAATTACATAGAAAATTATTTCCCTTTCACTTCAAAATTTCCCAAACTAAATTTTGGTTTGTTTGTTCATGAAGATACCTCATGACATACTATCCTTAACAGTATATCTTTGGTCTTCAAACACATTTTGTAACACTACAGGCAGTCACTATACATGAACCAAATACCACAAATGTTATCCCCAAGTATATTAATCAGTTTGTCCCAGAAAAGTACAGTAGAAATTTTAAAATAATTAGGTTATCTTTACTACAGGATTGTGTGGATAAGGACTTTGTTACTGGTTTTCCTTTACACAGCACTATGGATAAACACATTTTATAGGTTCTTTTAAATTATTTTCTATATTGTAATCATGTTGAATGTAACAGATATGAAAGAAGTACTCATTCTCTACTTGGGATAGAAAATAAATGTAAAGGGGAGAACTGCAGTAAACATTTGCAAGTTGAAACTACATCTTCCCCAAAATATAATTGGTTTATTGAGTCAGATCCAGATTTTGAGTGTAATCTCATTCAAAGCTTTTGTATTGCTGCCTAACTGCTTTTTCCCCTCAATGTTCTTAAAGTCAAAAAGATAAATGCTATCAGATGCTCTTATGAGCAGTGTTTGCTGCAATAAGTATGAAATGGAAGAGACACTGGCACTGCCATGTTGGGTTCTTTTGTAGGTGTTGAGCAAATAAAATAACTTCAGTGGAGCTCTGATTGTTTGAATATTTAAGTCTCTGTTTCTCTATGCTGTGTATTATTTCCCCATACAAAATATATTGCATGAAATAGTGTAGTCCAGAAACTCTTTGAAAGTATACTTCATTCTCTGTTCAACATTCAGATTTAAATGTTACAAGGAGCATTTTGTTAAAGGTTTATCTGAAAGCAGGCTTTGGTAGCACATGTAAATAACAAGGTACATACCAATTTAAAACAGCAACAAGAAAAAAACCAGTAGTTAGAACTGCCCAAAGTCATCCTGGTAATATGTTACTGATCTTCAGTAAGATTCATCTTGCCTATCTTGGAAAACTACAGTGGAGACTTCTACCTTGTAACCAACATTTCCTGGGCTAGCTTGGGCAACCTGGGGTCAGCATGCTGCATCTAGTGAACCTGTAGGGAGGAGTGTCACTTTCTTATGGTGTCACTCAGGAAGCTTGAGCATCTAATTCATGGCTGAGGATTCCATTAGAAGGCAAAGCTCCTGAGATTTAAGAGCAGGCAAACTCAGCATTGAAGCCTTAACTCTTTTTCTAGATCTAGCCTGAAGTCTTTCAATTAAGAACCAAATGAGGATGCCGTTTTAAGTCAGGTATTTATAGAGTTTACATTTTTCAAGCAGCCATGTGCCTAAGTACATCCTTCCCTATAGATGAAATACACAAATCGTAACATTGATGAAATAGTAACATAAATGAAATAAACATCTATTTATAAAGACCCCTGACTATCTTCCTAAGACTCTCCCATCAAATTGATTTTAAAGAGCAAAATCTTTTAGAATCTGAGAAATAAATCATGAAACAAGTTTGAAACGAAAAGCATTACACCTAATACACATGAACTATGAAGTGGAAAGAGCATGGAAGTTATTTAAATACCAGGGGAAAAACGCTCACTGAGAAGTCTTTCTATTTTGCTTTTCACTATCCTTTGGAATATGAAATTAGGTCAAGTTAAAATAAATTAGGAAAATTGTTACCTGGGAATGATCTTCTGCATTTGAGTGTCTCCCACTTTGATTCATATCCACATTACTGTCATTTATATTTTCATCACTTTCAGTAACAGAAGGGAGACAGGATAGGGAATGAAATCCTTTTTTGATGGTACGCTGTGGAAAGTGGCTAAATAATAAAAGAAAAATCAAACATTTTACTCCATACATTTACTTTCAAATTACAGTCTTCATAACTACTATTTTAACAGAATTTTGTCAAAATAATTTGCGCTTCCTTTATTTTGACAGATTAATAGGGCGGCACAAAAATCTTTATATATATACATTTCTTATCATTACTGGCTTGACACTACACACATATTAATGCTTGAAAGACCTGAACTGTTGCACTTTTAACAAACCCTCAAAAAACCAAAAACCCAAGTCAGCTGAGGAAAACTAGATGATAACACCAGAAGTGAATAAATTGCTATGGCTCATAGACAAGAAAAAAAAATGTATAATGTGCACTACTTAAATAGAGGTAGGGCAAAAAAAGTGTTCTGTGTCAGAATAGTTTTTTGTCTTTTCTCTCAATATGGGTCTCCATAGCTACCACACAGCTAAAACACACGATAACCAAGGAAACCTGTGCAAGCCCTATTCTGGCTATAGTAAAAGAAAGCTGTTGCTGACTTCAGTGGAGGCAGAAGTAAAAACTCATGGGAATATAAATAACTCTGCTTGTTAAGCGAACTAGGAGAACAAAATCAAAACAATGTTGCACACATGCCAATTAAACATAAATACATAATTGTGTTATTGCAGCAATAAAGAACAGAGCAAACTGTAAGCACATGTTATCTAACCCCTTTCTTAAGGATTGAGAAAATGAAATATCAAGATCTTTAGCAGTAACGCAGTCACAATTATTTTCCCTTTGAGTGTTTCAAAAGATTTTATTGAATAAAAACAAGTGATTAAAAACAGTTTCAGTCCCAACTGTGTATCTAAGTCCCTTATCTTATTTAGGCAGCTGTATTACTTTAATGAAATGCTAATACTTGCTATATATTTTTGGTTACTACCTGTTAATTAAATCACAAGAGATTAAATTAGCTGATTGTCATGGAAACTTAGCACATTAATAAACTGTCCTTGACAAAATGGGCTAAGCTGACCATGACGCAATCTATTAAATATGAAAAAACAATATAAAATATGTTAACATGCAAATACTGCAACACCTTTATTATTATTATCTCATTCTTTTAATAACCTATTAATGGATATTGCTTAGAGCATTTTTATGTATTTCTACTCCTACTCTTTGGGGGAAGAAAAAAAAAGGTAATTTAATGTCTTTTTAACCATTAAATGCAACTGTATCAGCAAAACAATGATATTCCAAGAATATTCCAAGGTAATTTCTTCCACGGACAAATGTTGCTCTACAAAAAAAATAAAAACCCAACTGGTTTATTATCAACCCATCCAATGATGATGATCAAAATGCAGAACCTGTCAAATGCATAATTTATTCAGTTTACATAAAGATGTACTTATCAAAAGGTGTACACACCTTAAAAAATACACACACCTCCAACAATTTACAAATTGTTGTTGGACTCAGTCTCAGGATAAGAAATATCCTCCAAAGTAACATAAACCTTTTGGTCCTCACTTGGTATGTGATACATTCAATGCTTCCTCTGTCAGGGGTTCAGTCAGAATAAAAAAGAGGAGATTAATAATTTTAGCAGTTGTCTACTGAATGTCCACATCGAAAGCTGAAGCCTAACAGTCATGTATTATGCAGTGGGTCACAGGAAAAAAACCAAGGCCCTGATACCCTTAATGGTGGTAATCCTTTTTTTGTCAGTCAGCAAATATTTTGCTGAATATTGAATATTGACTAGAAGTGGTGTATATATCAATTTCTGAAACTCCTTCTCTAAGATACCCTGTTTAAAGATCCTGTTTTTTGAGGGTTTATAGGACTTTCAAAAAGTTTTTAACACAAGGCTTTTATATAAAGTCATGTTTTGAGCATGAGCTGCTTCACCTGCACTCTCAGGCTTCTTGTAACAACTATAATGAACAAGGAACAGCCTACTTTATTCATAAATTTTAATTATTCCATGCCAAATATGTGGCGCCAATGACAGCACTGACTGTCCAGTGAATGACTCCCTTGTTATATGCAAGAACTGAAAGAGACGAGTAGTTTGAGGAAAAAATTGAAGGACATAAAAGAGAATTCCTATTTCTGGTGGAAGTGATCTACTGAATATTCTGCGTCTGTGGGCCCACTGAGTAGAGAAACTGGGAAATATTTTTCACCTGACAAAGCTCCCTGCCCTTCATTGTCGGATGCCCTGAGAAGTGTGCATCCAACTAGGGGACTGTCCGTACAGGGTGTGACAAGTAGGGACCCACCTCTCAGGTGTTTTCAGGCCCACCTCCTGGTGGGCTTTCTCAACAGTGTGTAGATTAGCAGTAGTATGGAGCAGCATATAAAGCTTACAGCGCCCCAATCTGCGCCTCCAACAGGAGGTGTGTGCAAGTAGAAGAACCTGCACTCCCAAAAGAGGTGTGCTTGTAACCCACAATGCCAGGAGGGTGCATATATGTGTATGCCTTTGTGCCTGAGCTTAGAAATTCTTGGGATTAGCCACAGAAAGGTGTTCAGAAGTTTGTAGATGTTTATTAACATTTTGTAAGCATCTAGTATAGTGGCTTATCTGTTGTATTGTTGATATTGATCCTAAATGTACGATTCATTGATTGCCAATTAATTATGTGACATCAATAAAACGATATAGTGCTCTGATGCTGATGTGCTTTAAACTACACGAACTGAGCAGTTTCTCCCTGTGACAGAAGTAAATATAAGCCATTGTGCTTTCACACTGGAATGGACTAACAATAGGACGTTAATGCTGAAGCTACATTGAATACTTACATATCTGTGGGTATTGTGATAAGATTCAATTTGTAATTCAAAAATAGGCTAGCAATCTCAACATGTTCTTCATGTTTCTTTACCACAGGCTCTAGAAAAAAGCAACTTGTTAAATATATATTCATAAGAAATATTTAATATTATAATTTTGACAAATAATTGCCATACGGAATTCATCATCACCCTTAAATAATTCTATTCTCCAAGTATCATCACATACACTTGAATGGAAGAGAAAAACCAGGTGTGACTTTAGGTGACATATCATGAAAAAATAAATGCATAACACTCCAATCCTCAGCCTGCAAGGTATTACAAGTATGCTTAACCTATATGTAAAGGTTATTCAAGGTAGCTCAGAACAACTATGGCAGCACGTTCTGCCTTTGCTAATTTCCTTCCTTTCTGATCCCAGTATATTTTGCCAACATACCTGTAATGCTTTCATATTCAAGCTACCTCTCATGCCTTTAACTCCATTATGCAGTGTAGACAAGCCCTAGAACAAATTTACCCCTAAAACTATGAGTTATTGCAGCAGGACTAGTCACATACTTTAAAGGTTTAAAAGGTGTTCAGAAGTTTTCATGGCTCAGCATCAGAGAGCTTCTGCATTGCTTTGGTAACACTCCCTCTTCATTTTCTCCAGCAGAGTAGGAGAGAGAAATTAAGACACTTCTCAAAGCATTTAAGAAATAATAGGGCGAAGGGGAATTAATACAAGGGCGGGGAGGGCGGGGTGGCGAGAGAGAAAGAGTAATCCCCTGTGAATTTCTATTGAAATTAAGCTAACAGATGATAGGTATGGCTCTGAAAATGTTTATAATAATTAAAATGTGATTACAAATTTGTTTTGGAGGTTTGAGTAGACAAACCTTGAGGTTCAGATGTCACAACAGTTTCCTTTTTCTGACGGAAAAGCTTCCAACGAGGAACTGGTGGTGGTTGTGGCGGTGCTACCAGAGGACAGGACCTCGTTCTAGTGATCAGGACAGGGTGGCTATAGATGTGGGAAAGCCCATATTGCCTCAGCTTCTCTGAAGAATCAGCCTATGAAACATGGAAAGATAATCTGACTGTGGTCTCATTTGTCGTCACTCTCTCAAAAGAGAAAAGTATGCACACAGAAGCACCTAATGGCTTGGATAACAAATGAAACTAAAATAATTCACCTGACAAAGCTATCCAGAAACATTCTAATCAGGATTTAATATTCAGAAGTAGTAGTATAATGGAATAGAAATGTTTAAGTATAGTTTACTTTTCATAATTCCTCAATTCTTTCAACTTATTTACATAACCATATTCTTTTAGGTGCTACAAAAAACATGTAAGTGAAGCAGAATGAAGATGTAAGAAAACATCAGTGACAACATTTTGTTTTAAAAAAGCATATTTAAAAATACTTTTTCTGAGGAAAAAGTCCTTACTTCATGCTGCATTTATAAAGTGGCAGAATTCTAAAAGCCACTGGCCTTGTAGTTAACTTGTGAGATCTCCATAATGTAATATCACTTTGAAGCAATACATCATTAAAGTTAAGCTTTTTATCTGCTGGCTAATTTAGAAAACATATTAAAGGCACTACAGCTGACCCATATACCAAAGCCATTAGCAATAGACTTAAGAACAATTTTAGATGTGGACATTGAGTGGTGCTCTTTCCATTAAAATAACAACGGTCCAGTGCTTAACATTTTTCACCACTGAAAATTCTGTTACAAGATTTGTATATCCTTTTGACTTTAAAAATACAGCTTCTTTTGTTTGCTAATAAATCAGCTATAACTTATTTCTTTAATGTGTACATCAGCAAGTCTCTGATTGCTCCCGCTCATGATGCATTTTCTAGTCCACATCTAACCTCTCCCAGGAGACTTTAGATCCTGGGATCCAAAAGAAAGTGGAGTAAAACTGAAAAAATGAGCAGCGCTGTTGCAGGAAAACGAATGATCAGAATACAGAAGTACCGAAATATAAATTTAACTGACAGTCATTACACGGTGACTGTTTCACTGTATTAATTTTTATTATTTTTGTTACAATGTAGTTGCTACAAAATGAAACACCCTGGTAATAAAATACGTAATGCTTTCCTCTCCTGAGAATCTTACCATCTGCCCTAATGAAAAAATATCCTCTTCAAACAAATGTAGTGGTGTACAGCTAGCATACACAGCCATTTCCGGCTGGGTTGGCACAGAGGATTCTGCAGAGAAAACATTAACATGCTTTAGAATAGGGTAAACAGTAAATAAACGTTGTTGTCCCTCACCCTAAATTATCCTACTTTCTCTGCCTTATTTTTATCATTCTTTTCTTTGTCTGACTGTTATTTCTATTCAAAACAAAAGCTCACTGTAAAATTCTCAGAACAGAAACCACGGATGGAAAAAACACTATTTTAATCCTTGCCTATTTCAATCATCAAGAATTTTTTCATATTTTACATCTTTTACACAAATGAGTAACAGAAACTACAACTGAGAAATGCAACAGCTCTCACCATTGTTCTTTTATTTTTCTTCACATTTAAAAAATACTAGATACTAGTATGAAGAACACAATACACATTATCTGGGTAGATGAAGTAAAAATATACTGTATGGTCAGTACTAGCCAGAGGCTTCTCACTAGTGAAAACAAAATTTTATCTTGGCAGCCAAAGGATCAAAAACCAGAGGTCTGGCCACTCCTACCAATGGATGTGGACATTGAGAAAAGTAGTTTGAGAAACATAGTGCTTGTAAACAAGGGTTACTGCTCTTACTTCTGTCAAGGAGATGGAAAAACTGAGGTAATGATGGCTGCTTCAGAAAGTGTGAGGGGTTGACCCCATAGCTTTTACCCCACCCACCTTACAGAAGCCTGTTTTCTTGTCATTCTGCCATAGGCAAGGCATAAAAGCAGGGGCACGTTCACTTTGTTACCCCTAGAAATCTGTTGCACTAGGCAACCGTGCAATTGCCTCATACCTGTATCTCTGACAGAAGTCATCATTAATTCCTGAATGATGAAGAGAAACCAAGGCTGTCTGGCTGACAGCCAGTTCACTCATGCTGAAGGGAAATTAAGAGTCTAAAAAACATAAGTATAGGTCTGTGGTTTGACCTAAAAGTCAGCTCAAAAAGAAGGATATCTATTTCTCTCTATTTTCCTTAGCCATTTAAGAAAGCATGTGAAGACAGAATTTCAGTACACAGGTTGTGACATCTGTTTTTCAGCAGAATATTTTGTCTTTGTTTCCTTCAGCTCCACCTCAAACACAGGATAATTGCTTCCTATGTGTAGTAAGTATTTAACTAGAAGTTGCTCTAAGAATAGGTATTTTCTGTGAAATAGAATAAAACAATGCTGTCTACCTACAAAGAAAAAAGGAAAAGGAAAAATAGGCAAGTGGCTGGAAAATACAATTTATCAGCCTTAAAATCCATTTATTTAGATGGTATGCGATGTTTTTTTTCTTAAAGCAGTAAGATACTGCTGCATCTTAAATATTCTTCCAGAAATTCAATTACTCAAATATAAGCTGACGGTAGGTCAGAGTTACTTTCTGGTGGATTCTTAATATTTCTCACTGTATGCCTGTGATTCCCATGTTAACCACAGCTCTTGTGTTTGCTGTGGGTTTCAAGGTATTCAAAAGCAAGGCTATAATTATAGGTTTGATCTCAGTCCCTACTGACACATCTGATCTGTTACAAATACAGCAATAGTAGTTACGATGTACTACGCATTACAGAACAGTACGTGCCCCAAGGCACACCGATCTCATTGCTTGTGAGAAGTATTTCTCAAATAAAAGTATTTAATCAAATAACAGGTGGAATGTAAAGCTGTCACAGATGTCCAAATGGGTTGTGAAATAAGATGTCTGCAGGGCAGACAATAAATAGTAATGAACAAATTATTAGAGCATGCAAATGATTAACCAGGCACACCACATTCACTTTAATAATACTATTACAATACTAGAAAGATTTTGTACATGATGCCAGTACCTTTGAAAAATAATATATAATTTGATCCTTTTTCACTGTACAAAAAATGAGGAGGATGTATGCAAATTATTTGCCACCAAGTGTACTGTTGATTAGCATGAATTCAGCATCTGGGGAAACTAGTTAAAACCAATAGGCTTGATAAAATTGAATTATTAGATGAAAAATGTTATAAGATATGCTACAGCAAAACAGTTAGATTCAGCAAAGCCTATTATTTATATCCATCAGTGTGGATTTAAGAATTCTGCAGTGCTTTGTTAAAGATTTTTGAATCCTTGTAGCTGCTTACGTTTCACATTTGCAGCTTTGCAAATTCATTTACAGACACTGAGTAATACAGAACCTGAATGAATGTTTGAGTCCCTGGAGAAGAGCAAGTATAATTTGAATTGATCCATGTAATATATACATCCAGCCACTTAAAAAGAAAGGCCAGGAATGAAAAATATTGGGTTTAATAGCTCTTAACTGCTTTTATTTTTAAAAAAATCATAGGTTTTGAAGACTTGCAAAGAATTTTCTCACTGTGTTTTCATGTTTCTCTTAAATACTTATTTGCCAAACAAGAGCTGATGCTGAGTTTTAACATTCCAAAACACTTCGATTGCCTGTCAATATCCTTCTTATCAGGTGTGCAGCTTATACATTAACCTCTGCTGTTGTGTTAGGCATGGACTAACTTTGTGTATTACAGAATCCTAGAATCATTTAGGTTGGAAAAAACATTTAAGATTATCAAGTCCAACCATTAACCTAGCATGGCCAAGTCCACCACTAAACCATGTCCCATCTATTGGAGGGTATTTTTTTAGTCTTCAGAAAAAGTGACCTATGAGCATCTTGGAATTGACATAAATATTGCAGAATGTTAATGTGCATTTGAAAATCCAGAACAAAATATTAGGCTCCAATCTAAGTCTACTTATAAGTCTACTTATAAGTGAAAATTCTTTTGAATATGCAGAAGGAAAATGAAAATAACTTTACAGTTATGTGTTATGTATCTCATTGACTATGATGATTAACATTACAGATCTACTTGTATAACTTCAGAAATTTTTAAACATAATAATAATCTCCAAACACTTCTGTGACAGAAAGTGACATAGAAAATATTATTATCTCTAATTACAAAACTGGTATCAAGGCACAATGAGACACAGCAAAAATAAATGGCCAGTTCGTAGAACAACTCCCATACTCCTGGATAGTGCCCTCTTCAGTGGAATAGCACTACCTTTCCATCAGTTCAGAAATTATTAGGAAAATTATTAGTCTAGAACCGTAAATGGAAAGTGGAGCAACGTCTCTTTATAGGAACAAGGTGTCTAAGTAGCTTATATCATATCATCATGAAGACTCTTTATGGAATTAATGAACTCCCTAGGTATGAAAAGAGAAATAGCTACTAGAAGAAAAGACTGATGAGTGGAAAAGTGCAGATTGTGTGCTGAAAGAGGCCGGTAGGAACATACGAATCATCTACAACAGCTTCCCCAGGACTGGCTGGCTGATAAGCCACGGGACCAAAGAGCTGGTTGCTCTCAGGAAGAGCCCTGGATGATCAGGTGAAGGGCTTGTTATTCTGCTGGGTCCACACAATAGGATGAATACAGGAACAGATTCAATGCTTCAGGGATCCTGCAACTCATAGTGTACCTGGAGCGCACAGCAGGCATTGGTCTGAGCACGCAAGTGCTTCAGAACTGTATTTATACATTTGTATAATAAGAATTCATCTGTCTGGGATGGAGCTAACTTTCTTCAGAGTAGCCCATGCAGTGCTGTTTTAGATTCCTGACCAAAACAGTGTTGGTAACACACCAATGTGTCAGCTACTGCTGAGCAGACCTCACACAGCATCAAATCCTTGTTTCTCACCCTGCTGCCCCAGCGAGTACGTTGGGAGCGGGCAAGAGGTTCAGTCCTTCTGATTCTCTCCCTCATCCCACTGGTGGGGAGTGAGCAAGCAACTGGGTGGGGGGGCTTCGCTGCCAGACAGCATCAACCCACCACAACATCATAACCCACACAACATTAAAAGCCTGTAAGAGAAGTTTCCAAATACTTCAAAGTAACTAGTATGTCAATGTGTATGAAAACTAAATGAGGTAATGAATATACAAGGTAATGAATACAAAAGGTTTTGTCATTTTAGAAGTAAAATACAAATTATATCAAGAGCTGTTAAATACTTCTTTAGAAATAATTCATGTTTATTAGAAGAAAATTCCCCTAAAGTGCTCACACTCAATAGGTGGAGTGAAAACTTGCAGTAGGGAAATAAGCACTTTTATGGTGGTAGAAAGGAAATACTTTTTAAGTCACTTACATTAATTAAAAAAAAAAAAGCTGTTGCATTAAGTAAAGTCACTATTACAAAATTCAGAAGAAGAATTTTCTAGAACAAAGAACAATTCAGAAACTTTTTACAACTACTGCCTCTGGAGTCTGACTTTGAACCTAGCCCTAGTTTCAAATATTACTTTTAGGCACAAAAATAGTTCTACTGTCCCAGGTCACTCTCTGCAGACCACATGTTTCATAATGCCTGCAAGCTTATTCTCTTGTGGCTACAATCTCAGAACAAAAATGTATTTTAATTCAGTATTATTTCAAATCACTGTTCTCTCTTTTTTTTTTCAGTCTAATAATCTTAAATTTGTTCCATATCTTACACCCTCTGACTTTACAATGTCCACATTTATTTCTATTAAAATTCTTATCAAGTTTATTAGTCAGATATCTACCTCTTACTCTTTTTCAAAACTCTTCTGGTTTAGACCTAGGCTACAAGTTCTCTGACCATTGTATATGAGCCCTGAACTAATAACCTTTTTAAAGAACCTCTTCACAGGCCACTAACTGTCTTTAAGAAAACAGCATAAACTGTGCTTTAAATGGCAGAACAAAAATCAAAATGTCATGTGGTTCTTCATACGGAAACATTGCCTGATGATTTTTAATGCTCTTTCATTTCACACAATTTCTAGAATTCATCAGTTGGATCCTGCTGCTTCTCCTTTGCTTTCTTTTCCCACAATGTGCTTGAGTACTGGGCACATTCCTTACATTCATGTGAATGCCTCATTTCCTATTCCACAACTACTACCACTAAAGCAAACTATGTTCCTGCAATACATTTTCATTTACTGCTGTTTAACTCCTTTAGTAGTATCTAAGGTAGGAATTCAAATTAATAGATTTGCTGATGTCAAACAGCAATATTGGTTTGATATGACTTAAAATTATTTAAACTACCAACTTTAATCAGGATTTAAATCAAGAAGCAGGAATTCAATTTACACACTGAATTTCATTCTCATTATACATTTTTACTTTGTAATTATTTCCCCAAAGAACAATGCTCTACCTATTCTTACCTGTTGATTTGCGACTAGATAATATTCCAGTTAATAAATATGTTTCCTTCTGCTAGCCATATGGAAATGCTACATGTACACAAATACAAGCAATGACAAGAGCCAATCTGTATGTACCTTAACATTTTATGAAGACTTTCTATACATGACATTTCTTATTGACTGATTAGTTCAACAATTAGTATTTACTTGTGGTTTGTTTAAACTGTATTTTGTTTTTTTTTTTTAAATAAATTCAAAGGCACAAAGCAAGAATTTATTTAATTTTTAAGCTATCATGAATGTATCCATAGAAAAAATAAATTCATCAAAATGTATTTCCAGGATAAAGTAACAAATTTATTAAACAATTATATAATGGAGTGAGTGCTAATGAATATTTCTGGGCCCCCGCCCTTCAACAAAGAAGCATTCCT